TCACGCATGTACTAAGTTTCCGGTTAATACAATTCTAGCATGAATAATAAACATTTATCATGATATAAGGAAATATAAATAACAACTTTATTATTGCCTCCAGGGCATATTTCCTTCAGCAACGACACCATAAATTCTTCTAGCTACTTCTTGAGATTGCGTTGGTTTTTCCCTTGAAGAGGAAAGGGTGATGCAGCAAAGTAGAGATAAGTATTTCCCTCAGTTTGAGAACCAAGGTATCAATCTAGTAGGAGAAGAACGCACAAATCACCAATACCTGCACAAACAATCAAACACTTGCACCCAATGCGATAAAGGGGTTGTCAATCCCTTCAAGCTCACTTGCAAAGGTAAGATCTGATAGAGATAGATAAATAAAACTAAACAAAAGATAAAATATTTTTGGTTTTTTGTTGTATAGATTTGAAAGTAAAGATTGCAAAATAGTAGATCAGAAATTAATATGATGGAAAATAGACCCAGGGGCCATATGTTTCACTAGAGGCTTCTCTCTTGAAGGCAAATAATACGATGGGTGAACAAATTACTGTCGAACAATTAATAGAAAAGCGCAAAGTTATGACGATATCCAAGGCAATAATTATGTAATATAGGCATCATGTCCGTGTCAAGTAGACCGACTCCTGCCTGCATCTACTACTATTACTCCATACATCGACCGACTCCTGCCTGCATCTAGAGTATTGAGTTCATGAAGAACAGAGTAACACTTTAAGTAAGATGACATGATGTAGAGTAATAAACTCAAGCAATATATATGATGTAAACCCCATCTTTTTATCCTCGATGGCAACAATACAATACGTGCCTCGCTACCCCTACTGTCACTGGGTGAGGACACTACAAGGTTGAACCCAAAGCTAAGCACTTCTCCCATTGCAAGGAAAACCAATCTAGTTGGCCAAACCAAACCGATAGTTCGAATAGAATTGCAAAGATATCAAATCATGCATATAAGAATTCAAAGAAGATTCAAATAATATTCATAGATAATCTGATCATAAATCCACAATTCATCGGATCTCGACAAGCACACCGCAAAAGAAGATTACATCAGATAGATCTCCAAGAACATCGAGGAGAACATGATCTTGAGAATCAAAGAGTGAGAAGAAGCCATCTAGATACTAGCTATGGACCTGTAGGTCCGAGGTAAACTACTCACGCTTCATCATAAGGGCAATAGAGTTGATGTAGATGCCCTCCGTGATCGAATCCCCCTCCGGCAGGATGCCGGAAAAGGCCCCAAGATGGGATCTCATGGGAATAGAAGGCTGAGGCGGTGGAAAAGTGTTTTTGTGGATGCTTCTGGAGGTTCAGGAATATATGTGAATATATAGGAGGAAGAGCTAGGTCAGTGGAGTCATGAGGGGCCCACAAGGTAGGGGGCGCCCTACCCCCTGGGCGCGCCCTCCACCCTTGTGGCCGCCTCATGGCTCTTCTGACTTGATCTCCAAGTCTCTTGGGTGTCTTCTGGTCCACGAAAAATCATCGCGAAGGTTTTATTCCGTTTGGACTCTGTTTGGTATTCCTTTTCCGCGAAGCTAAAAACATGGAAAAAACAGAAACTGCCACTTGGCTCTAGGTTAATAGGTTAGTCCCAAAAATTATATAAAATAACATATTAATGCATATAAAACATCCAAAACAGATAATATATTAACATGGAATAATCAAAAATTATACATACGTTGGAGACGTATGAGGTGGCCGGATCAGATGTCACAGCCGCAGTCCTTGAAGAATTGAGAACCGGCGTCGTCCAGCCATAAAGATGGCAGCTCATATGGGTCTGGAATCATGTTGCATCGGAGCAGCCCCCGAGCCCGCCATCTTGTAGTTGATAGATTGACTCCGTCTCGCCGATGGAGGACTAATCACTTGAGTAGGGTTTCCGCAAGTTCCACCCCTTGCGTGAAGCCAACGAAGACACGCTTCTGGCCGGCTTGGATCCGGGCAGGTCGCGCGCGCTGGGCCGACTCGACGAGGTTGGTGCAGGTTTCCGACTCAGGTTCAGACCCGCCGATCTTGTCGATGAAGACGTGAATTCCGTCGAAGGGGACCCGACACCCGTATTCGATTGAGTTGGCCTCGGGACCCCAGCCAGCATCGTCGATGTAGAGCTTGTCGCGGTGACTCTTGGTCATCCTGCCAACGGCGTATCCCTCGATCCCTAGGAAATCGCCCTTCAAGAACTCGAAATCACCGTGCGCTGGCCCCACGGTGGGCGCCAACTGTCGTGGTTTTGTCACGACAGATGTCCTAGTGAAAGGACTTAAGCGTGAAGCCATCACAACGATGATTAGCTTGTCGGGGTTGAGCGGGACGAGAGACACGAGTTTACCCAGGTTCGGCCCCTCACGGTGGAGGTAAAAGCCTACTCCTGCTCTTGTTGCTTATTGCTTGAATATCGATTACAAGGGAGCGGATTCGCTTGACCTAGATCTCGATTGATTGTAACCTATCTATTCTATGTTGGGGACTCGCCTTTATATACCGATCGAGGCCACCGGCTTACAAGAGTCCTGGTCGGGTTACGATACGTGACGGAACCTTACTCTAAGTCGCCTTGCTTTACAAGGTAAATTATTACATGGCGGGTTACACTCTTGGGCTGCCTTTTGACCTTGGGTTCTAAGCCAACCCATCTTGTGGGCCGCCCTTCTTATACGGCGCCTTGTTCATCTTGGCCCATCAGAAACCCAGCTCTTTAAGTCGCCAATGATCGTGGGGTTATATCCCCAACACTAGGGAAAAATAGAAGTTGATATGAACGCGACAAAACTTGATAACAAGTTTTTGGCCATGACATAATCATTATCTTAGTGCGAGACATGTCTAATTAGTAAATATACGCGAACACTATACAGAAAAGATGGTGCAAAAAGAATGACGTCTCGTGTTAAACTGGAGTAATTAGAAAGCTAGCAACCGTTTTGCATCTTTCTGGCGATATCACGTTGGTTTAAAAAATGATGCAAAACCAACATGATATCACCATAAAAATGGTTCTCCAATACTTTAGATGGACCTCAAACTTTCCTTTTCCCTTTGCCCCTTACAGAAGAAAACCTACTGAGAACCCTAATAATGTTTCTATTTCTGATGCTAAAACTCAGGAGCGTGAAGAGCATGAACCTAGTCAGGATAATGATAATAACGATGATGATAATGATGCTACACCTAATGATAATAATGAACCTGAAAAGGAGGTAGAGGTAGAACCTGAAGTAGAACTTGATGACCCACCTCCAAGGAATAAAAGATATGATAAAAGAGATTATGTTGCTAGGAAACATGGTAGAGAAATGGAACCATGAGTACAAAAGCCTATGCCTTTTCCTAATAGGACATTGAAATCTAAAGATGAAGACATTTAACCAATTTGTTGAATTACTTAGACCTCTTTGCCTTCATGTTCCTTTGATCAGTGATATTAAAATGCCTCCTTATTACAAGTACATGAAAGATATTGTTACTAAAAAAAGGAAAATACCTGAAGCTCAAACAATGCAAACATGGGGGATATTGTTACTAACAATGCAAACAAACCATGAGCCACAAATAAGAACATGACCGATAAAGGGGGATCAAGTTCGCAATCCATGAGTACAAAAGCCTATGTCTTTTCTGTGCATTTTGTCCTCACTCGTGCGTGCCTGAGAGCAACTTCCCGGTTGGTCATCCATTCTTAAATCGCTCCAAGCCAAACAAGCTTAATTTTAGAGTTCTTTTCGAATGGGCTCCAAAAAAAGAAGAAATTCCTTATTGATATGAGTAGCCTATGATTCCTATTAAGCCAGACTCTCACACCACATGCTGGTTCGTTCAAATCCAAGCAGACTACATTAAATTTCAGGAAGTATCACAACAAGGTAACACAAGTCATTATCCAGCTTACCCACCTGTGAGCAAAGCCCAACTTTCACATCGCTCGCTCCAAGAACACCAAATCCACATGAGCATTGGCCTCGAACAGATCCAACTTATAAGCACAATAACTATTGTGCATAGGGTTTTCGCATGCTGAATATAATGCAAAGATTCAAAAGACAATAAGGATAAGGCGGCAAGGACGGATGCACTCCGAAACACATGGGTTGACCAATGCTAGGGAGAAATAGAAGTAGATATGAATATGACAAAACTTGATAACAATTCAAGCAAGCACTATATATCTTTTGGCCATGACATAATCAACATCTCAGTGCCAAACATATATAATTAGGAAATATATGCGGACATGACACTGCAAAAAGAACGGCGCGGAAAGAACGGCGCTTCTCTAGCGTCATTCGTCAAACTCTAGCCACGGTTTCCCCTCAAAAAAAAAAAAAAACTCTAGCCACGGTTCTCCAATGCTTGAGATGGACCTCAGACTTTACTTTTCCCTTTGCCCCTTATTGAATCGACCTCAGGTCGGTCTAACGTGCGAAGAAAGGGCAAAAAAGGGTTAGGCTGGCGTAGAAAAGGTCCAAACTATACTAGCCAGGGAAAGAAGCGATGCTCTAGGCCTAGGGGTTCGGGTCAAGACACAAGACCAGATCCACGGAATCCGACCAAAATAATGCAGTTCCATCGATATAAAGGAGAGAGAGAGAGGGGAGAAATGAAAAGCGAAAAGGGGAGGAGAAAAAGTTGTATAAAAACGCCGCAGCCTCGCCGTCGCTTCTTCCCTGCCAAATTCCAATTCCAACCCGAGAGGGCTCCTGCCCCCGTTTGATCCCTCCCCTCCCTCCCCCCTCCTCCCATCCCAGCGCCGCCGCCGCCTCGACCCCCTCCTTCCTCCGCGCTGACCGCCCCGTCGCACCAGCCGCCGCCGCGGCGACATTCATTACCGCGTTCCTTCGTTTCTCGGCCTCCAGCTCGGGGCGGCGCCGGGATCGCGGGATCTCGTCGGGGAAGCCAGGTTTGTGCCCGGCGTATCTGGTTTTCGGTCCTGCACGGCTCGATTTAGGGTTTCCTTGATTGTTCCTGGAATGGTCGCGACGGTGGTTGGTGCCTGGTTCTTAGGAAGACGGCACCCCCTATGGCTGCGTTTTGTTGGATCTAGCCTTGGAATGGTAATGGCGCGTGATTAGTGTAGCTTGGTCGCGTAGCCTGTCGTCCTCGTTGCGGAAAGCTCGATTCCTGAAATGTGTGAGAGCAAATGAAAGGTTCGCTTCTTCTTTTGGCGGTGGATGTTGGGATGAATTCATCCACCTGGGTCTTATTCTCTGAGTAAATCAATCTACTGTTTAAAATATTTTTCCTGATCATTTGTCTATGCTCACTTTTATGAACAGGACGCGCCAGGCTCGTAGCATCTGCTCCCGATCACGGCTTATTTTATGGTGAGTTCATCACTAGCTTTTTGTGCGCTCCTTTTTCTCCGTTCTTTTGATGTTGTAAGTTAGGTAGCATGTCAAGGAAGATTAGGCGGAGATTATATTAGGTATCATGCCTAACAGAGTCCAAATTTTGGTTTGATGTGATAAACAGGGTGAAGAGGCTCCTGAGTTTCGCGTTGACCGCATCACCTTGGGGTCCAAGGATTGCCAACAGAATGCCATAGTTGTTGGCGATAAGACAGTGAGTCCCTTGAATAAGTCAACTCATATACATATGCTTTCAATTTGATTTTAGATATGTTTGACTGCCACTATTTCTTGTTCATAGTTATTGAAGTCACCACCTCTATTATGTTGCTTGCAAATTAACAAGATTTGAGCTTAGAAAGCTGGCAACAGTTTTGCATCTTTGTGGCGAGATCATGTTGGTTTTGGTAGAGATGTTGCAAGAATGTGTTGCGCTAGAATTGGAACAGCAAGCAAGATATGCCATCCTTTTTATTTTGAGATCAAAAGGAGAGCTGAGCTGTTTGTTTCATTAATAATTATAAAGTTACTGTAGGTATAATGTATGGTACCGAATGACCTTCCTGTACTTATCTGGCTCACTGGCTGCACCAACTTACACCTACTGTTTCCCATATCTTCAGTAAAATAATCTTTTCCCATGTAGCTGCAATGTTTATCATACCAAGGAGCACCCTAAAGTATAAAGCTAGATTGTAACAACACTTTTTTTTTTGCAGTATGTAATTGGCAGAACAGATGATGACTCAAAGTCAACCTTTGGCATTAAAATTCTGGACAAACTAACTCAGACTTGGTATAGTACTTCTCATTTTTGTTCTTGCCATTTTTATAATTTTCTTGGTTCTTAGTGGATGGTCATTCAACTATTTCTTTTGTGGCAGGATTGTGCCGACAGTACTTGGAGCACAGCCTCCATCCAAGTCGCACTCAGCAATTCTTGTAAATGAGGAGAAGATATTGGTTGTTGAGAAGGGCATTTCCTTGAATGATTCCATCTGGTTCCTTGAGGTAACATTACCTAGATTGACAAAGAGCTATCCTTCTTGGTCCGTCTAGTGTTCTTACTTTACAAAAATACAGAGGAAGGATTTGTTCACCTTTTTAATGGTGGGCCTGGTGAGCTTCAAGTAAACTTGATAATCTTTGGTTGCCTACACAAACTCAGAGTTACAAACTGAAAAAGTGGTCTTTTTGGTTTGTGCTATCTCACGATGCAGTGTTGTTTGTTTTGTAATGATGTACTTCGTCTTACTGGCAAGCCAGAACTGTATTAGTGGCATGATGGTAACTGGTATCGTGTCTTAGCTCATCTATTGTTCAGTAAATGTAGATCTCTCTTTCTGTGTGTGTGGGGGTGTGGGTGTGTGTGTGTGTGTGTGTGTGTGTGTAGCACAGGGTATAGTAGACACTGTATATTTTTGCGTGACAATATTTCATGATTATTAATTTTCATTTTTACTAATTGACCTGTCTGAGCTCACCCTCTTTTTCTTTACATCTCAGATAGATACCCCCTTTGTTAAACAACAGCGGAAAATCAAGGGTTCAGAAGTTGTTTCCTGGAGCAAGGGAGTACTTGGCGTTGCCCAAAAACCAGTTGTGATTAGTGGGCCATCTGGTGTTGGTAAAGGGACGCTGATAGCAAAATTGATGAAAGAGTACCCATTGAAATTTGGGTTCTCTGTTAGCCACACTACAAGGTCTCCAAGGGTGAAGGAAATAGATGGTGTCCACTACCATTTTGCTGGAAGAAGCAAGATGGAACAAGACATAAGTGAGGGGGAATTCCTTGAATTTGCTCATGTTCATGGAAATCTCTATGGGACGAGTATTGAAGCAGTTGAATCTGTTACTGACGAGGGGAAGGTAAAATCACTTCCACTTCTATACTAGTTTCTGAAAGGTGAGTTATTCATCTTTCCATTGCTTTTCATTGAAGAGGTGCATTCTCGACATTGATGTCCAAGGAGCACGATCTGTGAGGGCTTCTTCTCTTGAAGCAAAATTCATCTTTGTATGCCCTCCGTCATTCGAGGAACTAGAGAAGCGCCTTCGGGCACGGTATATTTGTAGATTATAGTATTTATGCATTGATAGCCTTAAGCTTTCTTTGTTTGATAATTCAGTTACAACATTATAAGGTGAAGATATGCTTCATTGACACTCTGGTCAATTGGTTATACAGGGGCACAGAAACAGAGGAACAAATCCAAAAGCGTCTAAGGAATGCTCGTGCTGAGCTTGACCAGTCCAATTCACCAGGTCTTTTTGATCATCTTTTGGTGAATGATAACCTTGAATCATGCTATGAGAATTTGAAGGTAGTTACACAGCTCACTGGTTACATAAGCTTTCCTTGCCTGGTTTTTTGAATGCAAGGCACTGTCATCGCGCCCTTTTCTTTGTATTAAATTATTATTGCAACCTGCAGAAGTTGCTTTCACTGGATGATGACCACAAAGATTCAGATGGTTGTTGTAAGTTACATGAAACTTCCTATTTCCAATTATTATTAATGCTTCATTGCGTCAAATTTTAATGTTAAATCTGTGCTTCAGTCATCGAGGATGGGAAAGCAACTGCATGTTATTCTATCCTGTCCAAAACAGAGTCAGAAGTTTTTTTGCAATCTGAAACTGGCGAAGTAGTAAAAGGAGCTGCAAGCTTGTAAGTCACCTTGCCCCTTCTATGTATTGCGTTGGTGTTAACTAATGATATGATTCTTACTCGTGCATGTTCGAATTTTTGAACAGGCTGGCGGTCGACTTATCCTCTCTCACAGGTGGTGCTCCTGGACGAACAAGAGGTCTTAAGATACACTCAATTAACTCAATTGACAATGGTCTGAAGGGCATTAGATAACCCAAAACATTCTTACAAACGATGTCGCAGAAGTGTTAACTGATGGATTTTGGATCAATTAGTGAGATATAACAGCTTCAGAAACATATTAGTTAGAGAAAGGAAAACATAAGAGGGATTTATTTCCATTTATCATTTGTTTGCCGGAGAGGCGCTTTGTTTGTTCTTTGTACCAGAAAGAGGTGAAGTCATGCCAGAGGGATTGTACCTCTTATTGTTGAGGGTTTGTGTACCTTATATTTGTTCAGTGGAACATATGTCGAGGGCCTATCTGAACCATGTTTTGTTTGTCTGCGAGAATGAAGAAATCAGGTGATGTTATAATGTTAGTCCAATTGCTGCAAATGCATTCCTGTTTCTTTAAATCCTAATATTCAGAACCTGTCTTGGTTATCATGAGGAGTTTCAGAACTTGCCTTTGTGGAAATTGTGACCCTGTTCTACACATGTACTCCCTCCGTTTTTATTTATTTCACATATGAACTTTGACCTAGGTCAAACTTGGTAAACTTAGATCAAGTTTTCTTACAATCTAAACTTTCACAAAAAATATCTATGGTATGAAAATACTGTGACCCTGTTCTACACATCTACTCCCTCCGTTTTTATTTATTTCACATATGAACTTTGACCTAACTTTGTAAACTTAGATCAAGTTTTCTTACAATCTAAACTTTCACAAAAAATATATATGGTATGAAAATATATTGAATGATGATTTTATTGGTATCGATTTGGCATTGTGGATGTTAACGTTTTTCCCTATAAATTTGGCCAAAGTTTAGAAGTTTGACCCAAGACAAAGCTAATATGCGAAGTTAACACAAACGGAGGGAGTATATTAGTAAATAGCGCATGCTTTTAAAACATAATGATATCATTCTCCAAAATACTCTCTTTGTAAGAAAATATAAGAGCGTTTAGCAGTGATCTAAACGGTTTTATATTTTGTTTTTTCTTTACAGAGGGAGTACAAACACAGCAGATGGAACGATAAATCCATTTGCTTTTGAACCAATCCCCTAAAAGAGCACTTGTACTCTGCAAACAGGTCACAGATATATACAGGCCACACACAAGTCGTCGCAAAAAGCAGAGGCTGCTGTGTCGAGCTAAAATCTGAAGACGTCGCTGCCCACCTCAACTCAACGCACAGGACAGGAGGGAGGAAGAGCATGTACATGGCATGTGGATCCAACGGAGGCCAGGTGCGTGTTCCTGGAAAATGACAGATGCTAGCATATCAACTCCCCATAGATTATGAGTTTATGACACTAGGAGTACATTGCCGAAAGCTTATGTAACCAGTGAGCTGTGCAACTAGTTACTCCCTCAGGTTCTTTTTACTCTGCATATTAGAATTCTCTGAAGTCAAACTTCACAAAGTTTGACCGTATTTATATGAAAAAATATTAACATCTGTCATGCTAAAGTTATACAATATGAAACTTTAATTCAATGACACATCTATTGATATTGATTTCAGATTGTGAATATTGATACTTTTTCTTATAAAGTTGGTCAAACTTTACGAGGCTTGACTTCAGTCAAATTTTATATGCGAACTAAAAAAGACCGGAGTGAGTATACATTCTAGGAATAAATAAATGTAGCAGCCGTATTGGAGAAAGTTCTCTCGAGATTCAATGTAGCAGTCGTATTGCGCCACCTTTGATCGTTTACCGTGAAAATATGGTCAAGTCAACTACATTATTTTTTTCTGATTTGAGGAACTGCAATGCCTATATATTAAGAGGGAATAAATAAAGCATTACAATGCTGGGGTTTAGGTGTCCCGCACCATTGTCTAAAAAAAAAGGTGTCCCGCACCAGAATGAAAATGAATGGGTTCAGAATTGTTTTCAACATCAGAAAGCCAATAATTAGAGAGAGCGGGCTGAAGAATATCTTGCTTGATGAGCTGCAAAACAGCAAATTCATGAAGGGCCTTGTGATCAAAGACTCGTCGATTCCGTTCCTTCCACGTGTTCCAAGCAGTGTAGATTGCCGCAGATTTAGCCTTCTTGCTTAAGGCCCTGTTCGGGAACATCCAACTCCGTCAAATACAAGAGCGGACGGAGCGCCATTTTCGCTACTCCCATAAAATACACTATGGGGCGCTCCGCTCCGGCCGCTTCAGAAGCGGAGCCGCGGAGCCGGAGAGCTGCCGAACAGGCTCTAAGTTGGAAGCCATGTCGTTCCACCAGTGGTTGATAGAAGTTGCATTCGAGCGTGGGAGGCAAGTGAAGTTGCATTCGAGAGTGCGAACATATGGGCATTGGAGGATTAAGTGGAAAGGGATTTCATCGTGCTGGTTGCATTGGTCGCTGTGTCGGATGCCTCTAGTTTTCAGATTTTTGTTGGTGAGGATCCTGCCTCTCAGCCACAACCACATAAAAAAGCGACACTTGGGCTCAACATTTGCCGGACATAATTTATCAAACTGCAGGTTGGTGAAGGACCCTATGAATTAGCACTGGTAAGGAAGTAAATAGCATAAAATTACCACAATTTAGGCTAGGGTTTTAGAAAACCACAACTTTTTAAAAAATTCTAATATACTACCACAACTTTGGTTTGCTGTTTCAAAATACTACCATGTTGCACTAATGATTGTGTTGGTTAAATTTAAGCGCGATTATGGCATATGTGGCCCACTCGTCAAGCTGGTGTGGCTTACAGGTTAACTCCGTTAAACTGAACCGTTATGACAAATGAGGCCCAATTTTTTTTTTTGAAATGGAGGATCACTCCTGACCTCTACATCAGAATGATGTATACAACCATATTATTAAGCAAAGTATCCGAAAGGTCTGCAGTCCAGTTCAAGCTCGCTCGGAGCTAAAAAGGTTAAAAAAAGGGTAAAACTTGCCACAATCAGCAAAAATAGGACGAGATGACTAAACACCTAGCCTATTATTGGACCGCATCCAAACCGGTTGTAGATATCTCGAGCTACCATCTCCCACCGGGTAGACCCAATAACCAAAGGCTCACTGGCTTCCGCAGGAGTGAATAACAACCACGTATGGATCCAAGTAGTGGCCCTGTAGATAACCCGCAAAAGATTTATATGATTTTTTCTGTTAAAAACCATATCATTTCTGCATTTTCATATAGCCCAAAGTAATGCACATACTCCTATCCAAATATGCCTTGCAGTATTTGACTCTACTCCATTTAGCCACGTCCCAAATAACGTGTGAATACTATTTGGAGAGGTGATATTAAAGGCCATATGAATTGAACGCCACAATAGTTTGGCAGGCAGACAATCGAGAAAGAGGTGTTTAATAGTTTCATCTTGATCACAAAAGCAACATCGTGGACTACCCTCCCAACTGCGCTTTGCCAAGTTATCCTTGGTCAGAATCACCTCCTTGTGAACAAACCACATGAAGACATTGATTCTTAAAGGCACTTTAATCTTCCAAATATGTATCGATTTTGGAATTGGACCAAAGTCAATTAAGTCTACATACATAGATTTCACTAAGAAGATCTCGTTCACAGATAGTCTCTAGTGAATAGTATCTGGCTTATCAGAGAGGTGAATGTCCATCAACCCGCACACTAGATGTAGCCATGCGGCCCATCGGTCTCCTACTAAAGATCTCCGGAATTGAGAGTTTTGAGTAGACTGTAACACTGTAGCAACATAAGCCTCCTTACGCTGTACAATATTATACAGAGAAGGACCAGGTCAGTTTGGATGGTGCCCTGGGTTCCATACCAGACAAAAATTAATGCCTAGATGTAGCCTGGAAATGCAATTATTTCTGCCTGGCCAGGCACGGTGCGTATGTGGTGTTTGCTTGTTGTCTAGGCCTGAGAAAGCTGGTACTATGCTTTAGGTTGCAATGGCACATAGTCCAATAAAAAAGTATTGTGGAACATATGTAATTAAAGTAAAGAAGTACAAGATTAACAAGAGGAAAGAAGCTGCCTGGTTCTCAGGCGTCCGTTTTTGGTTGCCTGGGCTTGGTGCCTCGTGCCTGGACCAGGGAGCAACCCGGGCATGTTTGTCGTGTGGGAGAAAATCAAGGTAGCAACCAAACAGACTCCAGACATACTTCACGCAGATGTCCAAGCTAGGCATCCAAACTGACCTGGATATTGTGTGGCTAAAGACGTCCCCCTAACCAAGTATCCTCCCAGAATCTAGTCGAATTACTGTTTCCAATGATGAATTTAGTCCTATGGAAGAAGGCTGCTTTCGTTCTCCTTAACCACTTCCAGAAAGGTGAATCATTGGATTTAACGGTGACCTGGGCCAAGGTCTTAGATTTATTGTAGGTACTTATTATGCAAAATTTGCACCCACGTGCCTTCGGTCTCAGTAGAAAGCCTGTATAGCCATTTACTGAGCAGACATCTATTCTTTATCTCTAAATTCTCAAACTTGAGTCCACCGTGGTTCTTCAATCTACAAATGATATCCCACTTAGTAAGCCTGTACTTTCTCCTTATTTCACCGCATTGCCAAAAAAAATCATGATCGGTAGAAATCTAACCTTTTTCATACCCCTACGGGTACTTCAAAGAAAGACAAAAGGAACATCGGCATACTCGTGAGCACCGAGTTTATCAGTACCAACCGACCACCATAAGACATAAGCTTATCCTTCCAGCAGCTTAGTTTTTTCAAATCGATGTTCAATACGCTTCCACTCCTTGTTAAAAAGCTTGCCATGGTGAATTCGTATGCCTAGATAACTAAACGGTAGGGTACCCAGCTCACATCCGAGCAATTTTCTATAAGCATCTTGTTTATCTTTGGCTTTCCCAAAACAAAACAATTCACTTTTGTTAAAATTAATCTTTAATCCCTTGTTCAAAAAGGCATAGCACGAGCTTCATATTTCCGGCCTTTGCCAGATCATGTTCCATGAAAATTATAGTGTCGTCAGCGTATTGTAGTATGGACACCCCACCATCCGCAATATGTGGCACTAGTCCTCCTACTTGGTCGTCCTCTTTAGCTCTACCTATGTGAATTG